CTTACTCATTATTAGCTCTAAATTATATACAGTTATATTGACAAAAGCGCAACAAATAAAGAATAATTCTATTTATAATTATATGATTCTTATTTGTCTTGACACGTTGTGTTACTTGAATAATATAAATAGAGTTAGATATAATTTGTTTAAAGAGATTTATTTGTTAATATAAAATTTAAAAAAATATGGAATAAAAAAATTTTTTTAATTTCTTGAGTTATTTTACGAATGGATTACATATTTCTATTTTTCAATAAATAATATTTTACATTTGTAATATAAACTATTATTTTGAATAATTTAATTTGTAATATAAAGTATTATTTGAATAATTTTTACAGTCAGCAATGGAAATACGTTCTAGAGAACATTTACAAGAATTGCAGAAACTGTTGCGAGAAGTAGAACCTGCCGATGAACCTATGGATGAGGAAAGCTTATCAGATGATCAACAATCGATTGACACAAAACTTCTTAGTTCAATGAAGGAAAGTTCAAGAAAGGAGATGTTAAGAAGGGTGCAGTCTATGTACACAAGCCATTCTATTCCTTGCAATATTCCCAATATTGACTGGTTCGTTACACCGCAGGAGAAGGAAAGACAAAAAACAGACCATGTACCCGAAGCGTTAGGCGCTGCGAAGGATGTGAACACTCCACTAGAAGCATGGTCTCTCCTTTTTACTGATGAAATGTTAAATATAATTATCAAATATACTAACGCTGAGATGGCACGGAAACGAGAACACAATTTCACAGATACAACTGATTTATCAGATACTGATCTTGAAGAAATAAAAGCGTTTATAGGATTTTTATACTTTTGTGGATTACAAAAAAATAATCATAAACGTCTCTTGAAATTATGGAGTACGCTTTCACCTTTGTACTCTTTAAGTATGTCAAAAGTAACTCGCTTTGCACTTTTGTTACAATGTTTACGGTTTGATGACAAAAATACACGTCAAGAACGTCGCCAGCGTGATAAGTTAGCACCAATTTGTGATCTTTGGGATTTATTTGTATCGAATTGTATGAAATATTATTCACCGAGTAAATATGTAACAATACATAAGCATTTACTATGTTTCCGCGGAAGATGTCCTTTTCGCGTAAGTTCCGAAGACAAATACGGACTTGAAATTGTTATGATGAACGATTCAGAAACATATTATATGATAAACGCTATTCCTTACGTTGGGAAGATCAATACGAACCGTTCGGAGCCAGTACCTTGTTCCTATGTACGTCAATTATCTAAGCCGATCCATAAGAGTCACAGAAACATTACTTGTGATAACTGGTTTACTTCTACTTCTCTCGTGCAAATAATGCAGGAAAAATTTTCACTTAGTATAGTAGGGGAAATTGAACCAAATAAGTTGAATATACCACAGGAAATGAAAGATTTCACAGAAGTTAATAGTATACGTTTTCGTTATGCTGATAACATGACATTACTTTCATATTGTCCTAAAATAAATAAAACTGTTTTAATATTATCTTCTTTACATGAACAAAACGATATAAATCTTGGAGCAAACATGATTCAATTTTACAATTCTATTAAAAGCAGCACTAACATTTTTGATCAATTATGTTACGAATATAGTACTGTACGTCCTTCTAATCGTTGGCCGACACGATTTTTCTTTGATATCCTTGATTACACCAGTATCAATAGTTTCATTTTATATACTTTAAACAAAAATAACGATAAGATAGCAAGATATAAATTTTTAGAAACATTAGCTAAAAGTTTAATCATGCCATATAAAAATAGACACTTGCCTTTATATACAATCCCACATCAATTACAAAGTGCAAAATGCAAATGGTGTCCTGTCGATTTAGATAGTAAAAGTCTAACTTTTTGTCCTCAATGCAAAGAACCACGATGCGAGGAGCATCGCTCAATGTTATGCGAAAATTGTGCAACATAAGCAGATAAGCTTATTTTTGTATCATTATTACATGTTTCAAATATGTTTTTTTATAATTTGTCTCCAAAATATACTAATGTATAATAACTATATATTGAAATATGGTGAACAGCACACGTATATCCGCAAACAGTATACGTATTTATGTTCTCATATTATTTTCATTGACAAATTATGTAAAAATATAAAGGATTGGTTGCACATATACGTATATTTTTTGTCATGTTTTAGTATATGGATTAGGTTAGAGTTTTGGGGAAGTGATGCGGAAAAAGGGTTCGGAGTCCTTCCCCCGCGCATATGCGTGTACTGTTTACCATATTTCAATGTATATTGTATACCAAAATTAAGTTCCGTTTGAACAATTTTTTTGTTATTAACTTTTTATTAAACAATGAGAGCCAGTTAACATCTTTTGAATGTTATTCTGGGCAGTAAATATGAGAACATATATTAAGGTTAAGCTCATTCCTCTGTACTCGATAATTATCTAAAAAATAATTATTATGAATGTATCTTTACTTCTTCGATATACCGCCAAAGAATTACAGCGCTTCCGACTTATAAACTTAAAGTTAATAAAATTGTTTAAAATAACGAAAAAATAATTGCCCAATAAAATTAATGAGATGCAATTTGTAAGTGTCATAATATGTAATCGTTTTTATTTTGAAAGTAATAAAATATTTAAAAAATGCCGTAATAAGAATTTCATTTGATGTAAATACTCATAAATATACTCGTAAGAAAGTAAATAGAAATATGACGTATAGCTGGTTTCAAAACGGTTTGTATACATCATTTATCGAGTAAAGTTGCAATGCTTTAAAATTCTTAGATTTGAAGTCACTATTGTGTCATATATGTGCGCACTAATCGGTTATAAATATATAAAAATTACTTTACAACAATAAGTTCTCTTAATTAAAAATAAATTCTTTCTTCTAAATTTCACAAGTGGCACTTATTATCACTTTGGCTTTTGTCATGACCTTGTCATTACTGCGTATACACAGCAGTGATTTTAGTTTTGACAATTAAAGCGTTGCAAATTCATTCCATAAAAAGTGTACAAATTTTAAGTGTGTAAATTATTGCATCGATGTGCAATATTTTATATCTGATACATTCTGTCTGATAAATGCTTCGATATCGCTGACGCATTATGATTACCTAGATAACGATAGTCGATAAATGCTTTCAGCTGCAGCAACACGATCAGTTGCATATGTTTCCGGCCGCACGTTAATTAATCGAAAAACAGGGATAGTGTATAGAATAAAAGTGACATTTTTATAGTTTTACATTTTGTCTGGTTGAATAAAGAGAGTTACCTGCTTGCTGGCAAGCCTGTTTTTTATAAGAATAATTCCACACAGTAATTGCGCGATTACTTGCAGCGTTTTTCTTGTAGATTTGCGCTCTTTTGCAGAACATGTTCGCATGTTGCACATATATTCAGAAATCATCTTATTTAAACTCGCTTGTTTGTAAAACAATTTGTAGATCTTTTTTCGATACACTTTGAAATGCATTCGACGTTTAATAAAAAAACTTTCGAAAAAATTTCAAAAAGATGTTCGAGATTTACTCAAAACAAATTGGACGTTGGTTGCTTTTCGAAGTATTTCGAAAGAAAAATATGCAAACCTTCCTCCTCCCGCTCTTCTACAACCGAGTGTATAGTTGTAAAATAGCTTAAACATGATGAAATTGACAATTCAATGAACTATCAAAATTGAAAGTTATTACTGTGTTGTGTGCGGATATATGTGTGCATACGCGCGCGTGTGTGTCTCGAGCTTGTCCATTCATTACATTAGCAATTATTATTATTAATTATTATTATTATTATTTAGTATTAATTATATTATTGTTACTATTATTACATAAATCTGTCGGTAATGACTTTCAATTTTATATCTTTATCCCACTTCTCCTTCGTCGTTACAAGTTTAGGTCCTATTCCAATGTCACATGACATATGGAATTACATCCTCCTCACACATAGAATAAGAAAAATAAAAAACATTATATTATAAATAATAATTATTAGATTGCGCGGTACTAACTTTTTTTCAATAATTACTTAATAATAATTTCTTAATAATATAAGTCATTTTTAGACGTAATACTAAATTAATTGTTTTATTTTATAATTTTAATTAGTAAAAGTTGTTTTTAAAAAATGAATAATCCGAAACCAAAATTTTGATTATTACAAAATATTTTTATAGATGTAAAAATTTTAATACAGCGTATACCCTTATCATACTAAGAAATATCATACTAAGAATCATTGATAATTACTTATTATCCAGTATTTTTAATACTGAAAATAAGTAATTATTAATGATTCTTAGTATGATATTTCTATAAGGGTATATAATATATAATATATAATTCCATGGTCTTTCTTTCCCTGCCATTATAAATCGTCACGAAAGTTAATAGATATATCCTCCTCCCTCCTCGTAGTGTAATGTAATTGTTGAATGACTTTTTATAATAACTACGTGTTGTTCAAAATTTGCTTTTGCATTAAGTAGAAAATGATTATCATTATCTTGTCTTGATATGCTGACAGTTATTTAGGAATATACATTTACTCATTATTAGCTCTAAATTATATACAATTATATTGACAAAAGCGCAACAAATAAAGAGTAATTCTGTTTATAATTATATGATTCTTATTTGTCATGACACGTTGTGTTACTTGAATAGTATAAATAGAGTTAGGTATAATTTGTTTAAAGAGAGTTATTCGTTAATATAAAATTAAAAAAAATATGGAATAAAAAAATTTTTTTAATTTCTTGAGTTATTTTACGAATGGATTACATATTTCTATTTTTCAATAAATAATATTTTACATTTGTAATGTAAACTATTATTTTGAATAATTTAATTTGTAATATAAACTATTATTTGCATAATTTTTACAGTCAGCAATGGAAATACGTTTTAGAGAACTTTTACAAGAATTGCAGAAACTGTTGCGAGAAGTAGAACCTGCCGATGAACCTATAGATGAGGAAAGCTCATCAGATGATCAACAATCGAGTGACACAAAACTTCTTAGTTCATCGTTATCTAGGGAGCACTTAAGAACGTGCACAAGCTATTCTATTCCTTGCAATATTCCCAATATTAAATGGTTCGTTACACCGCAGGAGAAGGAAAGACAAAAAACAGACCATGTACCCGAAGCGTTAGGCGCTGCGAAGGATGTGAACACTCCACTAGAAGCATGGTCTCTCCTTTTTACTGATGAAATGTTAAATATAATTGTCAAATACACTAACGCTGAGATAGCACGGAAACGAGAACACAGTTTCACAGATTGTAAAACTGATTTCTCAGATGTTGATCTCGATGAAATAAAAGCGTTTATAGGAATTTTATACTTTTATGGATTACAAAAAGATAATCATAAAAGTCTCTTGAAATTATGGAATACACTCGAATCACCTTTCTACTGTTTAACTTTTCCAAAAGCAGAACGTTTTGCACTTTTGTTACAATGTTTACGGTTTGATGACAAAAATACACGTCAAGAACGTCGCCAGCGTGATAAGTTAGCACCAATTCATGACCTTTGGGATTTATTTGTATCGAATTGTATGCAATATTATTCACCGAGTAAATATGTAACAATAGATAAGCAATTATGGAGTTTCCGCGGAAGATGTCCTTCTCCCGTATCTTCCGAAGACAAATATGGGCTTGACATTGTTATGATGAACGATTCAGAAACATATTATATGATAAACAGAATTATACTGAGATACTATGATACTAAGAATGACTTTTTATAATAACTGCGTGTTGTTCAAAATTTGCTTTTGTATTAAGTAGAAAATAATTATCATTATCTTGTCTTTAATATGCTGACAATCCTTTAGGAATATACACTTACTCATTATTAGCTTTAAATTATATACAGTTGAATATTGACAAAAATGTAGCAAATAAAGAATAATTCTGTTTATAATTATATTATACTTATTTGTCTTGACACGTTGTGTTACTTGAATAGTATAAATAGAGCTAGATATAATTTGTTTAAAGAAAATTATTCGTTAATATTAAATTTAAAAAAATTATAGAATAAAAGAAATTTTTAAAAAATTTTTTGAGAGTACTTTACGAATGGATTACATATTTCTACTTTTCAATAAATAATATTTTCCATTTGTAATATAAAGTATTATTTGAATAATTTTTACAGTCAGCAATGGAAATACGTTCTAGAGAACATTTACAAGAATTGCAGAAACTGTTGCGAGAAGTAGAACCTATGGATGAGTAAAGCTCATCAGAAGATCAAGAATCAAGTGACGCAGAATTTCCTATTATCAAGAGCTCACGCCGTTCTATATTTCGCGAGCTTTCTAGTGTTCAATGGTTCGTTACACCGTAGGAGAAGTGTATAGTTGTAAAATAGCTTAAACACGATGAAATTAACAATTCACCAAACTGTCAAAATTGAAAGTCTTCACTATGTTTGTGTGTGGATGTGCGCGCGCTTATGTGTCTCGAGCTTGTCCAGTAATTACATTAGTAATTTTATTATTATTAACTATTAATATTATTACTTAGTATTAATTATATTATTGTTACTATTATTACATAAATCTGTCGGTAATGACTTTCAATTTTGTATTTTTATCCCACTTCCTCTTCGTCGTTACAAGTTTATGTCCTATTCCAATGTCACGTGACATGTGGAATTACATCCTTCTCACACATAGAACAGAAAAAAATAGAAAAAATTATATTATAAAAAATTATTATTAGATTGCACGTTACTAGCTTTTTTTCAATAATTACTCAATAATAATTTCTCAATAATATAAATAATTTTTAGACGTAATATTAAATTAATTGTTTTACTTTATAATTTTAATTAGTAAAAGTTGTTTTTAAAAAATAAATATTTTGAAACCTAAATTTTGATTATTACAAAATATTTTTGTAGATATAAAAATTTTGATACAGCGTATATATGATGTTCCATGGTCTTTCCTTCCCTGCCATCATAAACCGTCGCGAAAATTAATAGATATATCCTCCTCCTTGCTTGTAGTGTGATATAATTGTTGAATGACTTTTTATAAAAATGTTCAAAATTTGCTTTTGCATTAAGTAGGAAATGATTATCATTATCTTATCTTGATATGCTGACAATTATTTAGGAATATACACTTACTCATTATTAACTCTAAATTATATACAATTGAATATTGAAAGAAACGCAACAAATTAAGAATAATTCTGTTTATAATTATATAATTCTTATTTGTCATGACACGTTGTGTTACCTGAATAGTATAATTAGAGCTAGGTATAATTTGTTTAAAAAGAATTATTCGTTAATATAAAATTAAATAAAATATAGAATAAAATAAATTTTTTTTTAATTTTTTGTGAGTGCTTTACGAATGGATTACATATTTCTATTTTTCAATAAATAATATTTTCCATTTGTAATATAAATTATTATTTTTAGTAATTTTTACAGTCAGCAATGGAAATACGCTCTAGGAAACATATACAAGAATTGCAGAAACTATTGCGAGAAGTAGAATCTGCCGATGAACCTATGGATGAGAAAAGCTCATCAGAAGATCAAGAATCGAGTGACACAGAATTTCCTGTTATCAAGAGCTCACGCCGTTCTATATTTCGTGAGCTTTCTAGTGTTCAATGGT